TCCCACCCATGGCTTACCACAGAGGAATAATAGAGTCCCTTTTCTTCCCTGTTCATTTTGACTGGGCATACTGAAGAATAAAGTCTTGGCTTGCAAACTTCGCCCACCTCCATTTTGTAATGAAATCTCTGAACCCCTCCTGTGGTCTGGAGACATTCATGTTAAATGCAGATGGCCATAGCTGAAGGCTCTCTCCCTTCACTTTGAAGTTATCCCAGATGCCATTAAGAAAAGGCAGAAATCTTTTTTTAAATAAAAATGTGTGTTGGGGGCACAGAGGAAGGTGGTATATTGGTGTTTGCATTTGCCTTTAACCTACTTTATATTGTCAATTCCTCAGGGCAGGGACCTAACCTTTTGTTCTCTGTTAAGAATGGTGACAGCATCACCTGCATTGGATCTCAGTTATCTCCCTATTGTAGCTGCCATCTGAAAGACTCCTTCCCAAGAGCAAACACCATTGAATACAGAAAGACTAGGACTAACTACAGAAAACATACATCAGATTGTATTCCAAGTCTCATCCTCAGAGACATTGCCATTTCAGAATGCAGGTGCTGATGTATGTTTACATGGTGCTCTTGCACAAGGGAAAAGGTTTCCAGCCAATTTTCAGGTTGTGCAATGTACAGGAATGAGAACTGTCAATTGTGCTGAGAGCACCATTAAAAATTCCCTTGGAGTAAGATATAATTTTATCTAATACTAATATATTAGTAAGACTTTTGCCCCTTGACAGAGGTATACCCTTAAGAACAGGACAAAAACCAAAGTTAAAAATAAATAAATAAATGCTTTTTGCAAACTGTAAGCTTTTCCTCTAATTATCTCTGCAATTCGTAGATCAACCATGTAAGAGATGATTATCATTATATTACAGAGACTGATAGTGAGTACTTAGTAAGTTCATGGTTAAGACATTTCTGAACCACAAACTACTCACACTCTTCAGTACTACACTGCACCATGTTGCCTCTTGCAGCAGTGGGTTGCAGACTTACATTGTAAAGTGAATAAATATTAACAAATAATTATACTATGAAGTGAATTAGATTTAACTGATAAATGTTCATATGCTATACTTATACTCATTAATTATTGTTATGGATAGAACCCTCTGAAAGTGTTGCACAAAATAAAAAGCAAAGAGAGAGAGAGAGAGAGAGAGAGAGAGAGAGAGAGAGAGAGAGAAGAAGAAGAAGCAAAGTTCCATAAAAAAACAATAAATATTGATACCTCGGCCATTGATACTTGAGTATCTTCTGTTTTTTAGGTCCTCCACCTCCCTGTGTGCATGGTGTCCATAGGATCAACACTCGGTTGTTGCTGGGATAAAATGGAATTCATAGCAACCAAAAGAAAATGTAATATTAATTAGTGGTGGAAAGTGCTAAAATAATTATGTTTTCAAATGTCATGGACAATTAAGCCATGCAATATAACACATATCCTATTCTTGACTCATTCAAGGTTGCGTCCTCACTGTTTGTACATGGCTGACCAGCAGAGCATTCAGGATTCAACATCAAATGCATTTTGAATTAAGCAACTTTGAACATAGAGAAGACACAGGGATGAATTCAGCTTAAGACAAAGTACTGCAGTTTAACTGTGTGATCTATTGCACTGAAAGAGGCATCTATGAAATGTTTACAGATTTAGATGCTTTGTTCAAGGAAGACAGAAATGCTTCGTTTCAGCAGCTGGTCACCATTATACTTGGACTGAGTTGGTTTTTGTGTGATAGTGAGCAACTTGTGGTTGAGTCATGAAGACAACTCTCATTTTTGTACATTGCATGGTCTGAAAACTGTCCTGTGAAGGTTTAATCTTTTTCTTTCTCATTCCTTGTTTTTCTTAAATTTAAACCCTATGAAATTTCATTCTGTACTCACTTTCCTACCATACATAAAGCATTATGAACTGACATGACAGGCATAAAAGCATATAAAGTATTCAGAGGGACAGGATGGCAAGTGTGGAGAATTATTGTAGACAGCTGCCTATCATACGCTGAAAGGTTTGGAGCAAGATGGCAAAGAATGGATTTTGTCTTGAGTCGTTGACCTAAAAGTTAAGGTGAAGGAAATCAATAACACCTTGCAATACTCCAGGGAAAATCAGTTACACCGCACAATTATACATATCAGGGCATTGTGTCTAGGTCACGGAGAGGAAACCATTTTCCTATTTTACTTGTTGCTGGTAGATCAATTTCAGAGAGAGTCCATAAGGAGATTTTTTTCTCCTACTCCACAAGGCTATAACACATTGAGAAAGAAGCTGAAAAATGGCAGGGACTATTTAGAAACCCCACAATGAAAAATAAAAGTAGTCCTGGAATAAGTGGGTTTATTCCAGGAATGGAGACTTTCAATTATTTTATCCAATATTTTGCAGATATGAATAAGGAGGGAAGTCTAACACACTGAAGATCACCTACAGTACTTCACTTCTGGAACACAAAGCGCTTTATCTGGAAACAGCAGCTTCTGAATGAAGAATCATTCCTGTCCCTAATCCCACATCTGGGGTTCCAGAGATTACAGAGATAATCTGGCTACAGTTATCCATGCACTGGTTCTATGAAGGGCTACTTCTGAAGGTAGACCAGAAGCTTCAGACAGAAGCACAGCAGTGCGGCTTCTTACAGATAGGCCATTTTGAACATACTGCATTGGCTGCCACTCAGTTTCCAGGCCAATTCTAAGTACTCGGGTTGCCATTTATCCCCCTACCTGGTTTAAGACCAGTCCATTGTCTTCTGTTTGTACCTGCTGGATTGCAAGGTTAGTCCTCAAAGTGTCTTTGCCAGGTGCCCCTGCCCACAATAGTATGTTCAGGTAGCTGTGACGAAAGGAGCCTATCTATGAAAGGCCCCCTCTAGGGAAATCTGAATGGCATCTTGTATACATTTTGATGCCAGGTTAAGACCTTCCTCTTGATCTCCACCTCCATCATCCCCATCTCCATCCCCACCCCCTCCAGTCTCTGTCTCTGTCTTCAATTTTTGCTTTATTATTAATTTTACTGCTGGTGACTTGATTTTAAAATATCTATGTAATTATAGTTAATGTTTAACACTGCATTATTTTGATAGTGTTGTATTTTGCTGTTATGACGTAGTTATTATTATGTAGTAATAGTAGTTGATCTGAGGATTGCAAACTGTCCTGAGAACATTTGCCAGTTGAGAATTCTACAGATCAAAGAATGGGCTGGATGAGGGCCTATAACCAGAAGCTAATTCCTGGTTAGCCATAGGCTGTGTGAGTGAGTGGTTACCAAGTCTGGGAGATAGACTTATTGCCTCTTCTGGGTATGGTTGCACTCCCTCTGAAAGATCAGGTTTATAATCCAAACGAACTCCTAGATCCATTGCTGTCAATGGAGGTCCAAGTGCTATTGCAGGTCAGAGTGCCTTTTACCAGCGTTGACTGATGTGTCACTTTGGGCCTCTGCTGACTGGGGATGGCTTGGGCACAGTCATGCAGGTATTAGTAAGCTCAAGGCTGGACTACTGCAACGTATACCATGTGGGGCTGTCCTTAAAGCTGTTTTCGAAGCTGCAGCTACTGTGGCATGGTGGTTATAGTGTTGGACCGGGGATCTGGAAGATCTGGATTCTAGTCCTCACTGGTAGCCCAGCCTAGAGTTATTGTTGTGAAGATAAAAGCTTGTAAGCCACCTTGGGTTCCTTGCAAATGGATGAAAGTCATGGTGCAAATGTAATATAACAAGAACAACAACAACAACGATGGTGCTAAATGCAGCAACTAAGCCGTTGTCAGGAGATGCTTCATTTCATCATGCAGTACCTTTGCTGAGAGAACTGCACTGGCTGCCTATTGATTGCTGGGTCAGGTTTAAGGTTTCAATATTTGTGTACAAAGCCATAAACAGATTGGGACCAGGATGCTAGAGAGAGCGCCTTCCCCAGTACCACATGCCTGGGCACTGAAGACCTCAGCTAAGGCACTCTTGACGGTTCCACATAGACCTACAGCTTGCTTGCAATTCCTCTTCTGTGGGGTAGCTCCCTCTTTCTCTGTGGAAGTCTCTGCTTCTGCTGGTCAAGCAGGCACCAATACTGCATTGTTTCTGGAGCCTGCTAAAAGTGTTTTTATTTCAATGAGCCTGGTATTCTGTTTGCTTGTTTGAAATTAATATTGTGCTTTCTTCCTTTAATCTTTGAAGAGACTCCCTGGAATCGGTTTCGATGTGGAACAGTGTATAAATGTTGTAAACAAGCAAATAAAACCCCTAAGAATTTTGTTGCCATTCATATATGCTCTGTGCTTATTTGAGAGTGCTTGCAGCTGTTCTTGAAATGTTCTAGATTTAAGTGTTGCTACTGAAAAAGGATGCAGCTTGCACTGAGGATGTTGAGCCCCAGCAAATTCTGGCTTGTATCAACCCCCTCATGGAGTGTTGGAGACTCTTTCACATTTAGTGTACATCCTTTTCTACTGAAGTGGACACTGCCTTGGCTTTTGAAGCAGAGCGCGGTAATGAACTGACCCACTGCACCCCCTTTTACGTATCCAGCATAGTTTTATACAGCTTTGCTGACACAGATAGCCTGTTTGCTAGTATAACTGTACTTTTGTTCTCTGCCTGCCAAGGTGACTGTGTGCTTCAAATGACATTGGCGATATTGGGGAAATGCAGAGAAATGCTGTTAGAAAAAAAGGTTGCTTATATGTGCCTTTGTGTTATGAGATCAGACTTGGAGTATTCCTGCACCTCTTTCTGAGAAAGTATCGGGTTTCCAAGCCAGGCTTCTGTTTAGCGTTGCTACTTTAAGAGATTGGAATTCTCAGCTCATCTGAGATGCTGCAAAGAAAGTTAATCCTTGCCTATTCTTTTGCTAACAGCAGCAACAGCTGATAAGGCTGCCAGGTTAGTTTTCTGGCAACATTGCAATCACTATAATTTGCATGATCAAACTCACAGCTTAGATTCATAATAATCTCTGCTTTTCTGTATTGTTAGGTCACTCTCCTGTAATCAAAGTTATTGTATTAAGTCCCCTCTACAGATCTCACACATTCTTTTGACTGTGTTCCCCTTATTTTGTCATCACCTATCCTGCTGCTGTGTACATGTGACTTAGAACATATAAAATACCTTGTACATGTCCTGGAAACTTGTAATTGGTTTCACCTCTACCTGGTAGCACTGTCTGCATTCTCTGTAAAGGGTGCCTGAGTGATCTTTCAATAAACTTCATAGGTTCAAGGCGAAAGGGGTCTTCCCCACTGGATCCGTTGATTCATTCTTGCAGCTGCCATTGAGATGCCCTGACAGAGACAAAGCCAAGTGGCTACTAAACTTTATATTTTCCAAAACAGGGAATCAGCCATTATATATTTGCTTGTTAACAACATCCTGAAGGCAATCTAAAGCCTGCATGACCCTTAGTAGGCTCTAATCTTGTTCTAGGCAATCCCATACATGTCTACTGAAAAGTAATACCAACTGATTTCAATGGCATTTGGACCCAGATAAGCAAGTATAGGATTGCAGCCTTCATTCTGCAACTCTTCTTCCATTGCATCTTAAGGCTCTGACCGTCCAGATTTGTGGTTGCTGCGAGTTGTAGGATTTATTTCTATTCAAACATGGACAACACTGCTCTCTCAAGGACTTAAATATTATCAGCCTTTCCCCACTTTCTTGTCCTCCAGTCTGGTGTTTTGCAATAATTCGCACAGTGAAAAGATCTGGAGTTTTTGAAAGCTTACTTGCTATTTTGTACATATGTAGTTGTTCCTAATAAATATTTGCCTGATTGTGGATTGTGGATTTTTTCTTATGGACTGGCAGCATGGCTTACTTTGGAGTGCATGGGAGTTGTGATTGTATTCATAAAGTTGTTGACTGGAACTCGGGCACATTCAGTGTCATTTCCTAACTAGATTCAGGATTGGGGTAGATAGGGGAAAGGAAGCATTTTATGACTGTTCATGTGCATTTATATGCATATATGCTAAGATAAACTGCTTTTCCTCCCCATTTGGGGAAGTAACTTCAGAATTGCTGGAAGAAATAGCTAAAGCATGTAGAACACTATCACACATTAACAACATTTGAAAGAGAGAAAGAAAGCAATGTACCTCTAATATCTCCCTGTAAGAAAGAAGGGAGCTGCATTTTAGCAGGGACTGATAGCAGAAAAGAGGGATTACTCCTGCTAAATAAGGATAGCTGGAATATATGGCACAGTTCTTTAATTCCCCCTAGCACCAATGACAAGCAGAATGCCAAGTGAATTAATCTCACCAAATGTATTAACTACCCAAACATACAGGTCTATTCAAATAGCAGATGACTTTACTGACAGCCTTTAGAGTGGGTAGGAATGCCAACCTTTTGATTGATTAGCTCTACTTCGCAAGATGATATTTTTAGCTAATATGGCTTTTTCAGTATTATGATTTGTCATGGTTATAATTGATCATTGGTGCTAAAGAAAACATTAAAAACAAATTCTTGGCTTTGACATTAAAAATGAAGAAATGATGCTTTCTAGCCCCATTTAAGTTCAACTTTGCATAAATGATACATGCAGTTTCTGCTTCTCGTTCTTAACAAAAATCCTACAGAACCAGAAAGAAGTGAGCAAGTAAAAAGTAACCCATACTCATGATTTCCACCCCTGTACTTGCTTCCATCATAGAAGTGTCGGGGTACTTTAAACAGCCATGAATCTTATACAAATGCTGATTTTAGCTAAAAATCACCCCAAGGTACACCTACAAAAGTCTCTCTCAGTCTCTCCTTTCTCAATCTTCACTATTATTCATCTTTTGTTATCATTTTTTGCTTTTTGAAATACAGTTCTGACTTCATCTGAGTTACCCACTGAAATCAGTGAAGCAAAGTGCTGGGCAGGGCATGCCTGACCCGGTTTTTGCCAGTCTTGCAGGCATATTTCAGCAAGGGTCAGCTTGACCCATGCAGCTGTGGCAATGCACTATAGAAACATGCTTAGACTTCTGCAGACTCTCAGCCCTCTACTGAATATTCAGGATTGACTCATTGGTATTCCATCAACAGCTGAGAAAGCCTTGGCAAAATCCCATGTGAAATGAATGCTGGAAGAAAGGCACATTTTTATTCATTCTTCTCCGTTCCCCTGGGGCTAACTTAGACCTCTGTTGAAAGAGTCTGGCATCCTTCTCCTTAGCACCCCTCCTCTCCGGAGACCAAGCCAGAAGCCTGAACAAGACAATTCAGGTAGGGTCCTGCTCTAGGGATTAGCCAGATAACAGATCGACAGACCCAGTATTCACTGTGATGCATATTGTACATTTTCATTGCATCATCTTGGGAAGGGGGATATCTCTGCCATCTGGAGATTTCTAAAGCCTGCTCTTGTCTGTAGTTCTCTTCATATGAGCCAAGTTCTAGCCAGAGATACCTGTTGAGATGGGAAGCAGATGTCAAACACATGGTTGAGAAGCCTGTGCCCAGGAAACTTGACACTCTGCTTCTGTTGAATAAAGGAAGAGGCTGCGCCTGCAGACAGGTAGCTCAGTTCTAAACTAAGAAAAGAATCAACACCTCAGACACACAGAAAGACTTGTGCTACGTATGTTTAAAACTTGCTCTTTGTAGGATGAGGAAGGGAAGGATCCTTTCACATGAGTTCTTTTTATGGAGAAAACAGGTCTTTTAGAAACATATGGGAAAATGCCTTGAGATACATACATCTCTCTCTTAACAATAGCATTCTGCCTCTACTTCTCATTTCAATCCATAGATTAGTTTTTGACACTGTTCTTTCTCCTGTGCACACCTTATCAGGTTGGCACCCATCTCTCTCTCTCTCTCTCTCTTTCTCTCTCTCTCTCTCTCTCTCTCACACACACACACACACACACACATCTTTAATTGGTTTGGCATGGCTGCATCTCTTGCTCTTGCTCATCAAGGCTTTCCTCTTGCCTGTTAGTCTTTCTAATCTGCCTCCACTCATATCTCAAATGGCCATTATTTGTATACTTATTTCACTGCACCACATGCTACATGCTTCACTGTCTTCTGACATTATGCCAGAGACTGTTTCTCAGCCTTGCAAATGGAAGCATAATCACCGACTGTTCACATTCACTCACACATTCATTCGATAGATATATATACTACTCCTCATATTAAAACAGAAATCTCCATGTGGTTAATTGCCATAGGAAATATCTACCAGGTGCTGCAGCAGCTCTGTCAAGGAGGAACTGAAATTCCCATCTTTAGTATTAAAGGTTGGGAGGTGATGGGGCACCTTAGCTTCGTTCAAGTAGGGCTTCCCCCAGTTTCCCCACCTTCAGCCATCCTTTCTGTAGGTAGGGCCAGGAAGTCTCAGTTAGCAGCCGCAAGGCTGAACACTTGGATCCACAGGGGGGTACCTTGTGCCTTGAACCTCATCAGTTTTATTGGGGAGAATGACCCAAGTAGACCCTCTGCAGTATGCAAACCTACAACAGTGCTGGTTTTTTTTTTTGAGGGGAGGGCACGCATTGTTTTTATTCCACCTCCAAGATTGTACTCCTTGCATTGGGGAATTGGAACAGCCATCTCAAATCAGGAGAAGCCCCACATTTAATCAACCTAGCGCAGCCCCACAGACAAGTGCAAGACTGCCAACTAGTCACATTTATTGGCATCAGTATCAAGAAACAGCAGGCCTGTGTCCAAAAAAAGTAGCAACTAAGCAAAGTAGTTTGCTAGGAAGAAGCTTTGGCCACTGCTGCACATGGACTGCTGTGTGTGTGTGTGTGTGGGGGGGAGCAGGGGGGGAGGGAGTACTCCAGCCCTTACCAGAAACAAATTGCATTATGCTGGCCGAGTGAGGCTGCTGCCTCAGGACGTTTGAACTGGCTGTCCTGAAAGTGCATTGAATTGGGATGTGTGTGTGTATAGTTTCCATACTGTCCAATAGCTAAATGTCTTGGAGCAGTTAGCAACAGTTAATAGATACAACACAGTGCAGTACAACAAACAAAGCAGCAATAAAAACTATCATAAAATTACCCAGAGAAATTTAAAACCACATTTCAACAGCTAAAATCAGTCCCTATCACTTGGCCTGCTAAGAAAACCACTGGTACTGCCCCTCACCTGCATGTGCTCCCAGGCACAGAGGGCAGTCTTAACCTGGTGCTGAAACAATCACTCCATAAGTTGGGGGCGACCAAAGAAAAGCTTCTCCTCCTTGTCTCCACCAAACAAGCATCCCCTGGAGGTGGCATTTGGAGGAAGACCTCAGGTATTGAGGGTAGTATCCAGGTACATGATGGTTGGAAGAGGCATTCTGTCAAGTATTGCTGACCCAAGCTGTGTAGGGATTATATATATACATACATGTATATATGTATTCCTAGGTAGAGGTGCTTGAGGGACTTTCTTTGTTAGCTGTGAAAATAAATTTGACTAGGCAGCAAAATATCTTCAGTTGGCTCTGTTTCTCTGCTTCCTGATGGTTTCTGGCAGGATGGGAGTGTCTCTTCCCGCTGTGCTATGAAGACCAGTGATTCCTACCAGAAAATCATTTTACCAATTGTGGCTTTTTAAGATCCAGTGCCTGCACTGGATAATGGACTAGAGGAGAACCAAGAAACAAGAAGCTGAATTCTGACAAGATGGAGGCATGGATAGGGTTAGGGTTAGCGTTCCTAACTCTAGTCTAGGGAACAGATGTGTAACCTGTTCTGAATGGGGCTGCTCTTGAATGTTCAACGTTTAAGGGTGCTTCTGGATCCAGATTTTTCATTGAGGCCCAGGTGGCTTTAGAAGCATGGAGTGTCTTACACCAACTTAAGCAGTTTTACCAATTGCGCCTTCTCTGGCCAGGAATAATCTGGACACACTGATTAAATGTGTGTGCTGGTAAATGACTGTCTGGCTTAGAGAAATACGTGTTATACATATGTGGAGGGCAGGGTGCCCTTTAGGACTGCTCAGATGCTTCAATTAGTGTAGAATACAGCTACCAGAAGTTTATGAGGTACAGTCAATTGTTCACTAATTTTACAAGAATTACACAGGCTGCTCCTTTGTTTCTGCTCCTAAATCAAGCTGGTGGTACTTCAAAACCCTACTTGAGCCAGGGCCAAATAACTGGAAAAGCACCTTTTCCTGGAGCAGTCTGCCTGTGGTTTGAATTCTTCTATGGAAGCTTTTCTCCAAGTGCTTTCATTTTGGAAAATGTATTGTGCAGCAACCAAAGAAAGGGACTTTTTTTAAAGTGGAGATTCTAGTT